CCGGAGGACACAGCGGACACCGGATCGCGGTGGTGCGCGCTCCCAGGGAGCGCGCACAGCTAGAAAAGGCGGGTGCCGTTTAGGAACGGCAACCCGCCCCTGAACTGCCACCGCCCTGCCGTTTATAAACAGCAGGCGGACGGCAAGAGGTTAATCCAATAGAAAACTTGTGGGGTGACATCAAAAATGTAGTTTCTGAGGCAAAACCAAGAAATAGAGAAGAACTGTGGAATGTAGTCCAATCATGGGCTGGAATACCTGTTCACAGGTGCCAGAAACAGTGGTTATACAACTAAATCTTAATTGATTCAAAGGAAAGCAAAATCTTCAAACATTTTTCAGTTTATATAGTGAATGTTTGAGTTTGTAAAGCAGAATACAAACACTGCTATTTTTTTGAACAGTCGAATATTCACTTTTCTTCAATTTTTTTAGAGGAACAACACAAATTTGATATATTTTTCTTCATGTTTTGATTTGGAATAGAATGTGTAGTGTTCCCAATGCATTTGTGTGTATGGAAATAAAAGCTATTAGAAGGATTTTGAGCTTTATTCACTTTTTTCAACACACTGCTATTATTTTGAACACAACTGTATGTACTATGAGTAGCAAAAATATAATTGGGCTAAGACAAATGTTTCATGGGTAGGTCTAGAACTTTTTAGTCGCCCCTTGTACTTGCAGTTTTTGCATGACAAATGTGTTTTTTTTTTAACATTTGCAATTTAGCCCTGGTCCACACTGTGTGAGCTGGTTGCGGGTATGAGAATCGCATCTGTTCCTGCACCCACAACCAAATTGCACTGCTCTGACGAGATACAGCGGACTGCCATTCATTCTGAATGGCAGCCCCACGCATCTCAGCCTGCAGCACATTTTTAAAAAAGATGCATGCACCTTTTCTTTTTGTGGAAAATGCAGGCATAGCAGCATATTCACAAAATGAATGGGCTGCCGTGCCCACACAAACACAGGCCGCACAGCCCACACAAGTGTGAACCAAGGCTTCAGGCAAATGTGTATTAAATATAAAAGGTAATTACCTGAGGGCAGGGGTAATAAATAACCTAGAGTTGCCTTTGCGTGGGAGTTATTTAGTTATAGGCCCAAATTAAATTCAAAAGTACTGAAAAAAACCCTGAAATACTGAAAGAGGCTCTGTCACTAAAATAAAAATGTAACTCAAGTCCCCTGTAAAGAAGATAGTAACAAGTAAACTCTACTGCTGCCCGTGCCACCCAAAGACCCTTCGGAGTCTGGCACTTCCAGCTTTGCAAGATCTCTGGTCCCCTGCTGCACTCAGTAGTTCAACCCACTAGCTCCTTCCAGTGGAAGGAACCACAGAAATCAGCAGGGAAGCAGAAAATTGACACTCCTAGAAGTACTGGATTCTGAAGATTCTTTGGGTGAAGGTTTCTCTTTATTGCAGCAATGTTAGGTAGGTGGGGTGTGTATTCAGTATCTTTCCAGGGGACCCTCTTTTCATGTTTCAGCAAAAGAGTCCCTTTAACTGTCTTGGAAAAAAAACCCATTGCTTTAGGCTCTAACCCTAGCCAACTATATGACCCTAGACATTGGTCATGCAATCTCTTTTATAGGGAGAGATAGCTGTTGATTAGCTACCTCTGCCTGAACTTTAATACACAGTTTTTTATTCGCTGAGACCACTCTACCATTACCTGGGTATTTGGGCATGTGACTGGCTGTTTCTGCATCATCATCTTCTTTAGACCAGTATATATGAATTTAATGAAGCAGGACAGCAGGGTTTTATTTCTCTATAGATGTAGTTTCCTTCTGCGCCCTCAATATAGCCCTGATCCAGGTGATATGCCGCAGCTAATAACCCCTCCTTGGCCCCAGGGCTCACCTCAGTCTCTCCGGACACACAGCTCCAATCGATTACACTTCCATATTCAAACTTCCAATCTTGCAAGTAGAAATGCTTTTGAACATATTAACCCCAACACTTAGCCTGCATTCCCACAGAGCATATTCCTGGTGATTTTGAAACTTTTTTTCAGGTGTTTTAAGTGTTTTTGCACTTGTACGAAGCCTCAGACATTTGTTTCCTGCTGAGCAAGGGAAGGAGAGCAGTTGCATATGAGAAGAGGCATTATTCAGGCATGAAAACTCAAATAATGCGCTCCCACAGGTGCTTCTATTAGAGTCTATTGGGCCAAAAAACTCCTGAATGCGCTAAAAAAAGGAAAAAGAAAAAAGCTCATGTGCTTTGAGTATAGAGCACAGTGGGTAGCAGGGCGCGTCATTGGACGATGCTGTGGAAGTATGGCAGCCAATGATGGATGATGTTTAGGAAAACCGGTACTGAGCAGCACTTCTAAAGAGTGGAAGCAAACTGTGCAGAAGAAGATGAAACAGGAAGGAGCCAAGTGCAGTATTCCAAGGTCAACTTTTAATAAAAGCGGTTAAAAACACTTACAGTGTGGTAATACAAACAGGCTCTAATGTAATCCGTCAGTAGCAGGGCTCTGTTCTCTAAGCGATGGAGCCGCTGTGCCAGCCAGCAGCTTCAGGGGGAGCTTGAGAAGAGGTGTTAAAGATGGTCGCAGCTCTATTCAGATCGCTGGACCGCACGCTGGAACGTACGCTGTCCTTGGATTGGAAGTGACGTAAGCATGGAGCGGTGACGCGTTTCAGAGCATGCCCAGAGCTCCTTCAAGACCGATGTCTAGGCTGAGAGCCAGTTAAGCCCCTTTAACCTATTTAACTGGTTCTCCCTTAGCCTGGACATCGGTCTTGAAGGAGCTCTACGCATGCTCCGAAACGTGTCACTGCTCCATGCTCACATCACTTCTGGTCCATGGACAGCATGCTTTCAGTGGTCCGGATAGAGCTGCGGCCATCTTTAAACATCTCTTCTCAAGCTCCCCCTGCAGCTGCTGGCTGGCACAGCAGCTCCATCGCTTACAGCACAGAGCCCTGCTATTGACGGATTACATTAGAGCCTGTTTGTACTACCACATTGTGTTTTTAACCGTTTTCATTAAAAGTTGACCTTGGAATACTGTACTTAGAAGCGCCTTCCTGTTTCATCTTCTTTGAGTATAGAGCGACTGAGCATACAACTGTGAACAGGGACAATTAGAAAGAATATGATTCTGCTTATGCAGCATAGTAAGGCTTAGGGAAGGGAAACAAGCTTAAAACCACTTGAGTATGAATGGTGGCTTACTAGCATCTAACCTTTGTAAAGGGGGCACTTTTACATTATCTGGAGTTGGGCTTCAATTATTAAACCCATGCAGCAGTACAGAATAAGAAGCACTTGTTTCCCCCATGTGACCTGTTTAACTTCCAGGTACAGTTTACTCCTGCCTGTGCAGGCCCTGGCCACTGCCTCCTCCCATGCTGCTATGTAGGTAGATATCAGGAGCTGGCGCAGCTACTTCTTAGTAAATCATAGGGGTTTTTTTTTTTAGCCAAGATCGTTAGTTTATTATCTAATGTGTCTCTATTATAGAGTCATTAGTGGACAAACAATTTTAACAAAACAGGTGCTGTTTTCAGTATTGTACAGTACTGTATTCCTAGATTTCCCCAAGACCAGGCAAAATGGGATACAGACATTCCAAACATGGATTGGGATGAGGTTTCTGCTTCCTATTTTATCACAAACATCTCCGCTACAGACAATCTAGGTTCTACTTTACATCAGAACTGCTCAAAGTGAGGAAAAGTGACAAGTGTTAGGGAGATGATGGGGATATTATACATATGATAGCAACAGCCCTATGGTTAACCCTGTATGGTCTCAGATTATGGAATTTATTTCAGAGAACTTTCAAAATCCCCAATATTTGTAACTCAAAGTGGTGCCTATTGGGGTATTTGGTGATATGGATTTTGAAAGAGCTCAAAAGACCTGACAGTACTTTTATATTCTCCTAGGAAGAATGTAGTATTACACTGGATTTCCATGGAGCCCTTTGATATGATTGATTCCTCTGGAACTCACTACCCCAATCCATCAGACTGTCACCTACCCTCCTCACCTTTAGGCACACCCTGAAAACCCATCTCTTCAGGGAAGCCTACCCCGCCCTCACCTAACAGCCGATCTCCTCCACTCCATCCCCCACAGCCACTTCCTCCTGTACCACTATCCCCTCCCTCCTAGATTGTAAGCTTGAAAGAGCAGGGCCCTTGACCCCCTCGTGTTTTGTTTTGTTACTGTATTGTCTCATGTTCTGTCCCCCACTATAATGTACAGCGCTGAGCAAACCGTTTAGCGCTGTATAAATACTGTATAATAATAATAATATCAACGCCTGGAAAAATGTATGTTTACACTTATCAATCTCTTCACCTAAACTTGCAAATTCTGCTCTCATAGGTTTCTGTTACATATATATTTTGGTGTTGTTACTGTTCTGTGTGATGTGGATACGTGTACAAGCTAAACAATGCAAATTTACTATTAAAAAAAAAAAAAAAAAGCAGAAGTTGAAATGAAATTTGAGCAGAGTGGAGGAAGTGTCATTGCTAGCATTATTCAGTACTCTGCTGTGTGTGAGCTCCTACTATCAACCTCTCTGCCCGTCATCAGATAAATTGGAGGCTGTTCAGTGAGCCTTCAATATAACCGAATGATAGCAGGGGAATACTACAAAGTGTCTTTGAATGAAAGCTTAGTCTATCTGGAGTTGCTGATTTCACAGCCAAGATGGAGGCACCCAGTAGCAGTCTCAGGCTTGTTCAATATCATATCATCATCCATTCAACTACAAAAGCAGCCAAACTATTAAAAATGCCCTTTCTGCGTCAGCATTTTTTTCACTCTTTTATGCATTTTGCAGACCACAGCCAATAATACTGGGTAGCACAATAATGCACATACAACAAACAATAGCGAAACACAGTTTTGGATAGAAAGGCCTTAGGAAATTGTGAAACTTTATTTTACCAATCATTATGACTTGCATTGTCAGATATTTATAATATATTACATAGACTGAAGAAATTCAAGGTGGAAGTTATCGGTCCCTTGGATGTTCTTTGATCATTCGTCTTCTATGGTATCTGAAAGTTAGATAGTAAATGTTTTTTAGAAAATGTAAAAATCATGGCACAATGAACACTGAATACTTTAAAAGTAAGGGCTAAGGGTAAGGCTTAAAGGGGATTCTCCACCTTTGTACCTGTGAAAACAAAATCCTTCCTGACAGCCTAAACAAAAAGCAAGGCTAAAACATTCATGCACATACATATAAACAAAAAGCAAGGCAAAAAAGCAACCAAATATTTTAGAATATCATTCATATACTACTTATCACAAATCTTGGGAATCTTGGATGTGTTAGCTTAAGAAACAAGAAAAAAAAACCCAAAAACAAAAATAGGGGACAATGTAGGAAAGAATTCCTGTGTCACAGGAGCAATGTGAAGTCAAAATCTCAGTAAATAGTTTACACAAAGAGAGCTCATGTGATCATCAAAATACTATATTAGATAATTGTGAGAAATAGTAGTATTTTCATTTTTTGGAATTTGGTCATATAAAAGAGAAAACTTAAACTTACAGTCCTACAGGGTACCATCGGTGCTTGGTGGTATAGAACATTTTACTGAGCTCTTCTATAGTTGGTTCCCGTTTCGAACTTGTATCAATCAGTCTGGCTTTTAAGACCTGATCATGATTGTCCTCATGGTTCTCTATTGGGTCTCGTCTAGGGAGAGGCTGGACAAAACAGCAGGTAAAAATTTAGTGAGATCAGGGTTTCTAAAAATGCAGTTTTGTAAGAATAATTTTTACACTAAAGTGTATTTGCAACACAGAAAATGCAGTTAATTTAAAGGATCCTGTAGGACAGTCTAAACAAGCCCCAAATCCAGTTACTATGTGAAACAAAAGCCTCAGAATAAACAAAAAAACTTTTATCTTTCCTGACTAAGCCAAATTTTTCATCATATGTGTCTTAAACACCCCCTCCCAGAAACTGCAGCTCATTATAGGAGGGTATCAGCAACAGAGGCCATGCTGTCAGTCCAGAAGGCAATGGGCAGGACTAGGCATGACCAAGTGCTAGCTGACAAGATAAATGCTACTGATCGGCAGTGACAATGTTAATAGCCATTCCTCCTGAAGCATTTTCTTATACCTGTAGTGCAAACAGGTACAGCCTATATGAGGGACAAATCTACTATGAATTCAGGAACTTTGCAATATCATTGCTACACCATCACAGGAAGCTGCATTATTACAGTTGCAAGAAAAAGTATGTGAACCCCTTGGGATTACGTGGAGTTTTGCATGAACTGGGCATAAAATGTGTTCTGAACGTCATCTAAGTCACAACAATAGAAGAACACAGTCTGCTGAACATAATACTACACAAACATTAGATGTTGCCATGGTTTAATTGCACAAAACATGTAAACATTCACAGTGCAGGGAGGAAAAAGTATGTGAGGCCCTAGCTTAATGACTTCTCCCAGAGCTAATTGGAGCCAGGAGTGAGCCAACCTGGACTCCAATCAGTGTGATGATATTGGATGTGTTGCTGACAGCTGTCCTGCCCTTACAAAACACACACCTGTTTTGGGTTTACTGGTTTCAAGAAGCACTGTCTGATGTGAAACATGCCTCGCAGAAAAGAGCTCTCAGAAGACCTACGATCAAGAATTGTTGACTTGCATTAAGCTGGAAAGGGTTACAAAAGTATCTCCAAAAGCCTTGATGTTCATGTGTCCATGGTAAGACAGACTGTCTACAAATGGAGAAAGTTTAGCACTGTTGCTACTCTCCCTAGGCGTGGTCGTCCTGTAAAAATGACTGCAAGAGCACAGCGCAGAATGCTGCATGAGGTAAAGAAGAATCCCAGAGTGTCAGCTAAAGACCTACAGAAATCTCTGGCACATGCTAACATTTTTGTTGACACATCTACAATAAGGAAAACATTAAACAAGAATGGAGTACATGGGAGGACACCACGGAGGAAGCCATTGCTGTCCAAAAAGAATATTGCAGCACGTTTGAAGTTTGCAAAAGAGCACCTGGATGTTCCACAGCACTACTGGCAAAATCTACTGTGGACAGATGAAACCAAGATTGAGTTGTTTGGGAAGAACACACAACACTATGTGTGGAGAAAAAAAGGCACAGCACACCAACATCAAAACCTCATCCCCACTGTAAAACATGGCGGAGGGAGCATCATGGCTTGGGGCTGCTTTGCTGCCTCAGGGCCTGGACGGATTGTTGTCATTGATGGGAAAATGAATTCCAGAGTTTATCAAGCCATTTTGCAGGAAAACATATGACCATCTGTCTGCCAACTGAAGCTCCGCAGAAGATGGGTGATGCAACAGGACAATGACCCAAAGCATACAAGTAATTCAACAAAACAATGGCTGCAACAGCACAGAATACACCTTCTGGGGTGGCCCAGTCAGAGTCCTGACCTCAACCCAATTGAAATGCTGTGGCATGAACTTAAGAGAGCGATTCACACCAGACATCCCAAGAATATTGCTACACTGAAACAGTTTTGTGAAGAGGAGAGGTCCAAAATTACTCCAGATCGTTGTGCAGGTCTGATCTGCAACTACAGGAAATGTTTTGGTTGAGGTTATTGCTGCCAAAGGAGGGTCAACCAGTTATTAAGTCCAAAGGTTCACATACTTTTTCCTCCCTGCACTGTGAATGTTTACATGTTATGTGCAATTAAACCATGGCAACATCGAATGTTTGTGTAGTATTATGTTCAGCAGACCATGTTCTTCTATTGTTGTGACTTAGATGACGTTCAGAGCACATTTTATGCCCAATTCATGCAAAACTCCACTTAATCCCAAGGGGTTCACATACTTTTTCTTGCAACTGTAAGCCCTTACACACTGGGCTGATTTGCTTTGCTCAGTGGGGGTATCTGTCCGTTGAGTCCCCGCTGAGCAGGCGGATGACAGGTTCATGTCCGCTCCAAGTATTGGAGTGTGGACACAGCCCGCTATGCTCTAGGGGTGGTCTGTTTACACTGGATTGCACTCCAATCAGGTCCCCCTAGACAGAGGGGGAGGGATCCCCATCAGTTTCTTTTTAGCAGATCGGATCAGATTGGAGGTAGGTGTGTATAAATGGACACAAGTAATTTTTTTTTCCTTAAATGGGAGGACATAGTTCTACTCTAACCACTTCTTGTCCGGCTGTTGTATATAAATGGCCGGACGGTGGCAGTGCAGGGGTGCGTTGACGTTCATAAATGGCGCCTGCCATTTTGGACTGTGCGCGCTCCCTGGGAGTGTGTGGCACCGCTATCCGGTGCTCGCTGTGTCTTCTGGACACAGTGGAACAACGATAGCTGTGTGAGGTCCCGATCATGTGATAACTGATTGGCCAATCAGTGATCACATGAAGAGTAATAAGCAAGATGTCACTTCTGACACTATTGCTTACTACTTGTGAAATCTGTGAATGATCACAGAGGTCACATGGCACAAGGCTATTCACAGCAGCCTTGTACCATGTGACAAGCTGTGACCAATCACAGCTCGCACAGTATTTCTCAATGGCTGCAAGAATGAGCCAGAGAGAAGGAGAAATGATTGCTTTTACATCCATGAAGGCTCTAAAAACAATCAGTGCAAAAAAAAAAAAATCTTCATCACCCCCCACAAGTAGTACAGTGTCACTATGTTAAAACAATAAAAAAAAAAATAAAATAAAAGAGTAAAAAAAATGTTTGGAAAAATTATAATTTTTGGTTATAAACTAATTTGGGTTTTTTTTTTTTTACTAAAAGATAACTGAATACATTTTTGCCAAGATTTATGAAGAAAGATTATTTATTTGCAAAATATTATAAGAAAAACACTTTTTTAAAAAATTTTTTTGGACTTTTTCACTTATATAGCAAAAAAAAAAAAAAAATCCCAGTGGTGAATAAATACTACCAAAATAAAGTTTTATCTGTCTCAAAAAAATGCTAAAAAATTCATATGGGCATGACCGCGCAATTGTCATTCAAAGTGTTGACAGCACTGAAAGCTGAAAATTGGCATGGACAGGAAGGGGGTAAAAGTGTATGGACATGAAATGGTTAAAGAAGAAAATTATGACTATGCTACTGAAAACCTTTAGTGGAAGTTTGTGAAATCTTAACATGGATTTTGTTAGAAAGGGCATTTTGGATAAACTATGTTTGTTATCTATTAAAAGTCCTGGTATGGTAATTTCTGTACTTCTATCTGCAACTGTAGACTAAGGCTTGCTTGCTCAGGGAGGAGCAACCATTGCTCCTTGAAAACATAGGAAAAATGGCAGCAGGTGCTCTGGACTGCTGAGCCAAAATTTGAAATATTTGGCTGTAGCAGGAGGAAGTTTGTTCCCCAAAGGGCTGGAGAGCGGTACAATGAATGTGTGCAGGCAACAGTTCAGTATGGCAGAGGTTCCTTGCAAGTTTGTGGCTGCATTTCTGCTAATGGAGTTGAAGGATCAATGGTTTCCTCAATGCTGTCAGATACAGGCAGATACGTACCTAGCTATCATGCCATACCATCAGGGAGGCATTTGACTGGCCCCAAATTTATCCTGCAGCAGGACAACGACCCCATACATACAGCCAATGTCATTAAGAACCATCCTCCGCATAAAGAAGAACAAGGAGTCCTGGAAGTGATGGTTTGGCCCCCACAGAGTCATGATCTCAACATCATGGAGTCTGTCTGGGATTACATGAAGAGACAGAAAGATTTGATACAGCTTATATCCACAGAGGATCTGTGGTTAGTTCTCCAAGATGTTTGGAACAACCTACCTGCCGAGTTCCTTCAAAAACTCGGTGCAAGTGTTCCTAGAAGAGTTGATACTGTTTTGATGGCAAAGGGTGGTTACACCAAATATTGATTTCGATTTCTCATTTGTTCATTTACTTTCCATTTTGTTAATTGATAAAATTAATTATTAAAGCGGTAGTAAATCGCAACTTGAACAAAAAATTTAAAAATCTCCTGCAAGGTAATGTCATAGTGTGCTAGTATGCATCATAAGTCTGGATAAGTCTGGCCGCAGCATTCAAGATAGACTGAAGCAGGGATAGCCTGCGGTGAGGTAAGCCGATGAGCAGGAGTTACAGTAGTTAAGGCGTGATATAATGAGGGAGTGAATGAGTTGCTTAGTGGTTTTTGGGGTTAGGAACGGATGTATTTTGGAGATGTTGCGGAGGTGAAGTCTACATGAGTTTGTCAGTGAATGGACCTGGGGCTGGAAGGACAGATTGGAGTCTAGGATGACACCTACCACTCTGGCTTGAGGGGAGGGACTGATGGTGGTGGTTTTGGTCTTGATGGAGAAGTCAAGGAAGGGAGGGGGGGAGCGCAGGCTGGGGGGAAAACTAGGAGCTCTGTTTTGGAAAGATTTAGTTTGAGGAAGTGGAGTGACATCCAATCCGATATGTCGCTCAGTAGGCTTGTGATACGGGAGGAGACTGAAGGGGTGAGGTGAGGGGTAGAGAGATAGATTTGCGTGTCGTCGACATAGAGATGGTAGTTGAAGCCGTGAGAGTGTATCAATTGGCCAAGTGAGGATATGTAGATGGAGAAGAGAATGGACCCGAGGACAGAACCTTGAGGGACTCCAACTGAGAGGGGGAGTGAAGAGGAGGTGGCAGCGTTATAGGTAACACTGAAGGAGCGCTGTGATAGATAGGAAGAGAGCCAGGAGAGAGCGGAGTCTCTGAGGCCAAGAGAGTGTAGTTTTTTGAGGAGGGGGTGGTCAACCGTGTCGAAAGCCGCAGAGAGGTCGAGAAGTAGGAGCACTGAATAGTGGCCATTAGCTTTGGCGGTTAGCAGGTCGTTGGTAAGTTTGAGTAGGACAGTTTCGGTGGAGTGTAGGGGGCGGAAGCCAGACTGTAGGGGATCAAGGAGGTTGTTGTCGGTGAGGTGGGAACTCAGGCAATTATAGACTAAGTGCTCTAGGAGTTTGGATGTAAATGGCAGCAGGGAGATGGGTCTAAGGTTGTTCAGGTCGGTGGGATCCAGGGAGGGTTTTTTAAGTATGGGAGGGATGTGCGCGTGTTTTAGAGGGGAGGGAAATGTGCCAGTAGAGAGGCTGATAGCTTCCATGCCACGACACATTGAGGCAGTAATTGCTGCAAAAGGGGCCCAAACCAAGTACTGAGTACATATGCATGCTTATACTTTTCAGAGGTCAGATATTGTTCTATGTACAATCCTTGTTTTATTGATTGCATGTAATATTCTGATTTTCTGAGATTGTGGATTTGGGGTTTTCATGAGCTGTAAGACATAATCATCACAGTTATGACAAATCACGGCTTGAACTATCTGGCTTTGCATGTAATGAGTCTACCTCATATATTAGTTTCACCTTTTAAGTTGCATTACTGAAATAAATGAACTTTTGTACGATATTGTAATTTTTTGAGTTTCACCTGTAAATAGAGCTGATTACTGTAAAGAAAAGCACATGACTGCTACAGAGGAACTACACTTCTCAGAAAAACAGAAATGCCAGGTGGCATTTCATTTCTACATCAGGACCTGACGTTACACTCTGCCCCTTCCCACGAATCTTCATTCTCTTTGTAGAAAACTGCATCACAAGTTCACAAACATGGAGGAAGTGTATAAACTATTGTTTCTACCACATTAAGGAGAAATGGAAGTTCATTACTAATACAAATTAGGAAGTTATGTACATTAAAGCTTCATGTACACGAGCCTACTCTGACAATTGGCCACTGAAAAGCGCAAATTGCGGCAAAAACGCGGTACAGCAGTTGCTGCGGTTTTCGTTTTCCAGTGGTCGGCGGTCAAAACGTTCCTATCCTGACCGCCATTCTTTCACATTCAGTTGAGGGAAGTTTAACCTCACCTAATCGCGGCAGCTCTTAAAACTCTGCTAAAAACCTAGGTGTACATGGACACATAGGGGTTTATTTACTAAAGCTGGAGAGTCCAAAATCAGACTCCCTTCTGCATAGAAACCAATCAGCTTCCAGGTTTCATTGCCAAAGCTTCATTGAACAAGCTGAGGTTAGAAGCTGATTGGTTTCTATGCAAAGGGGAGTCTGATTTTGGACTCTCCAGCTTTAGTAAATAAACCCCATAGGCTTTTATGGTGTTGAGTTTAGGAGCTTTTGCAAAAACATGCCAAAAGCTCCTAAACTCAAGTTTAGCAACTGGCCGTGTACATGAAGCCTAAAAGAATATACAAAAACAAAACATAAAAAAGCATTAAAAAAAAAAAACACAGTCATGATGTGTGTCAGCAGTGTCATGTCTTACGCTAGTATGTTCATATGGAATATCCACCGAAGGATGGTAGCAGACAATTGTTTTCCCATCAGAAGTCATGGCCAATTCCACTTTACTAAAACAGCAGAAAAAAAAAAAATCCACATGAAAATACTGTTTAATCCGAAACAAGTAAATGTAGTGCTCTGAGCGTATGTTTAAAATGACACGAAACAATATCTTTATTCCCAAAAAATAATCTGAGCACATCCTCCACTTAATAGCTCCATATCCAATTTTTATGAAATGGTTTCATATTATGATTTTCTGTCTCTTATTCTGTTTTTCTGTACTGTCCCCTGTGAGATCCCGAATCTCGCAGTGCATGTTGGTTGCAGGCATGTGCACTGCTTTTTGCACACTACAAATCCCTTGGTCCATAGAGCTTAGTCCATCTCAGGAGAAAACAAGAGGCTGGCCACCCTCAAACAGTATGTCAGATACTTTTCTAAGCTAAAGAATAACTAACGTTTTGGATAGTGGAGATGGATTAGAACACTTGTCAGTTTTTATTGCAGTCTGTGCCGTCATTAGAGAAATTCATCCTCTTTATGTGTTCTGTTTACACTTATCAAAAGTGAGTAAAAAAAAAAAAAAAAAAAAAAAAAAAAAAAAAAAAATCACAAACTTGGGTTGTCCCCAGAAAAGCAACAGAAGGGAAATCTTCCAATGGAGATACTAGTTCTGGTGACCTAGGGAGCCCCAATGAATTCCCTTAATTTGCAGGGATTTCCTCTCACTTCCTGCTTTGGCTATGGGACATGAAAGTGAAGGTAAACCTTTCCAATGGGACACAGATGGCAAATAAAAAAAAAAAGTTTTGCCTATAGTTCTAATTTAAGATGACTGGTGCTGCTGCTAGGTGATGCTTCTGCTGCTGGGTGCTACATAGTAAAAAAAAAAAAAAAAAAAAAAAAAATCATATTTACATTAATACAGGATTTTTACCTCCTTCATGACCAGGCCATTTTTAACTATTTAGCACTGTGCTACTTGGTAATTGCACAGTCATGCAACGCTGTGCACAAACAAAATTTATATCATTTTTTTCACACAAATAGTGCTCTCTTTTTTTCTGTTTTTATATATGAATAAAAAAAGACTGAAATTTAAAACAAAAAAGAAAAAAACAAAAAAGAAAAAAAACAGTATCTTACTTTCTGCTACAAAACATATCCAATAACAAAAATGTAAAGAAAAGTATTCAAAGATTTTGGCCAAAATGTATTTTGCTACCTGTCTTTGATAAACAAAAATTTCAGTAAGTGTATATTGATTGGTTTACATGAAGGTTATAACGCCTATAAACTATGGTATATGCTGTATACTAGAGGTGCTGTATAACTGAGGTGAGCAGTGACTTAAAATGTGACTGCGATAGTGTGGCAGGCAATCTGACACTAATTAACGCTGTGGGGAATTGACTAACTGCCACTGACATCACCAGCAACATTAATAAAGTGATCAGTGATGCTATACACTGTCACTGTACTAATGTCACTGGTTGGAAAGGGGTTAACATCTAGGGAAATCAAAGGGTTAAATTTGTGCCCAACTATGTGTAATGTGTGTAAAACGTGCTGCTTTTTATTGATAGATCACTTAAGTTTTTCATCCCTGCAAAGAAACAGAGGGATCATTCACTCAGTACAGAGCTCTCTGTTGATTGTCAACACAGAAATCTGGGCTGTGATTGTACACAGCTGATCAGCAGGTCCTGGGCGTAAATCATTGGCCGGAACTTGCTGACAGGCTCCCAATGTGTACAATCACAGCAGGAGAGGGCAGACGGGAACACACGCCAGAAACCCGGAAACAGGCAGTGATCTACGGGTACGTTGCTTTGCCTGTGCGGGATGCCCATCTGCAATACATTGTGTGCGGGCAGTCCACAAGTGGTTAAAGATGATCTTTATAGATACTATTGAGTGAACAAAAAAATTCATAGGCTGCATACTAGCTTCAACTGCAAATCCTACAATGGTCTTAGATCTAATATGCAGCTGAGGTGTCAGAAAATACATTACCATCTAAGACTTCTACGGAATTTATCTTTATGATGCATTTCCTAAAGGCTGAAGGCTGTTTTTCTTTTTTTTTTTGGAATCCTCTGCAATGTGAGGCTCATCAACACCTCAACATCTACCAAGTAAATGCAACTAAAGGCAGTTAAGAGTGATTGTAAACTTTTTTGGGTGCCCCTTCAGTAGTCCTGGCTCCTCCATTTCTCTGCGTGCCACCAGAGGAAGTAGCTCCCTTTTGTGGGACACTTGGGGGCTCGATCCTGAGCCGTGCTATCTGTGTCCGACACAGACAGCACAGCTCCGCCCCTACCCCCTGCTCCCTCATCACAGAATGTAATTGGTAGCAGCAGGAGCCAAAGGCCTGAAGGATTAAAGATACTATTAAACCATGGTTACACTTACTGGTAATGGTATTTCTGAGAATCTTCCGGGACAGCGTCCATATTCCTACCCCGATATTTTGGTTTAAAGTGATGGTGTTTGAAATTGTTGCATTTTTACCTAACAACTTCCCTTGTGCACATTGGTGGAGGTTCTTTCCTTACAACAACTGAGGATGAGTGGGCAGGAAGGGCTTTTTATTCTCTTTTTGGGTTTGTTTACTGTTGAAGGCGGAGCCAACAGCTCAAGCAGCTTTCCTGGAAGATTCTCAGAAATAATTCTCAGAAATACTGTTACCTGTAAGTGTAACCATGTTTTGTTTTTTGTTGTTTTAACTCAGATATAACAAAACAATTTTAAATGGTATAAAATTGGTATAAACCAAAATGGAAAAAAAAAAGAGAAGTTCATTGTTAGGGTTTATATACAGTTTAAGGATAATTAGATGGCCTGTACAATTAAATTACATACCAGTTGTAGTCATCAGGAAGAGCTGAATAGGTCGATTTTCCACAGTGTAAACTTTGATCTGGGAATGGAAAAATAATTTAGAGATTGATATTATGGGGCAAGCAAACGTTTCAGATACAGTTGTGCTCAAAAGTTTGCATACCCGTGGAGAATTGGTAATATACTGTAGAGTATGTACATTTTTTAAGGAAAAGTGCAGCAGGCAAAACAATTTCTTTTATTTCTTATGGGATTCATATTCAACTGTAGGTCATAACAGAATGGCACAATCATAAAACAAGTAAGCAAATGAAATGACCCCTGTTCAAAAGTTTGCATACCATTAGTTCTTAATACTGTATATTGCCTCCTTTAGCATCAATGACAGTGTGAAGTCCTTTCTAATAGTTGTCTACGAAGCCATGAATTCTTGCAGGTGGCAGGGAAGCGCTATTCCTATTGCCCAGCACCGGGACATGCAGTTCCATGCGCCGGGCAGAAATGTATTTTTTTTTTTTTTATTTAGCTACAGGCAAGCAACAAGATTTCCTTTTCTTTTTTTTTTTTTTTGCACCTTAATGGAGTGGACATCGGTGCAGAGTGAAGATCGTGATGAACAGTAGCTGCAGGGGATACAGATCTTCATGCTATACCAGGAACAGCGGGCAGCAGCAGGGCCAGGCTGGTGTGTCCAGGCTGTGGTAGCTTTCCTGAAGGACCCAGTGATGGTATAGTGTGGACAGACATACTGCTGACACTGCATGAGGGGGAAGTCCCGAAGATGCTGCTGATGTCATGGGGATAGGGGCCACCTAGTCTGTCAAATGTCACCGGGAGGAACACTGGATGGAGACCAGAGACCACTGGGGGGAGGTGCTACCCAACACTGGATGGAGACCAGAGACCACTGGGGGAGGTGCTACCCACAACTCCGTCTGGTCATATATTCAAATAAGTTAGAGGAGTCATATCTGTCCTCTTAGTGTGGGGGAAGGGGCAGCATGCCTGTCCACTTATAGGGGGGGGTCACATCTGTCCTCTTGTTGGAGAGGAGAGGGTCATTCTTGCCCTCTTGTAGGAGAGGGAGTCATGCCTGTCTTCTTGTAAGAGAGGTTTGGGTGGGGGGGGGGGCGGGGGGTTTGTCATGCCTGTCCTCTTGTAAGTGGGGGGAAAGGGGGGGAGAGTCATGCCTGTCCTCTTCTAAGGGGGGAGGGGGGGGGTTACACACACAGAACATGGAAGTGCAATTAGTTTATAAATATAAACTTCTAAATACCTTTTCTCATCAGCAGTTAGAGCAGTCTTGCGGCTTCTATCCAGAGCACTGGTTAAAGCTTGTAGGAGGAGTTTTCTTCTCTAGGAGGATGCAAAGCCCCTGACCATCTGTCTGGACAGTGCCGATTGGCCCTGTGCTGATCACATGCACCCTCCCAAGCCTCTCTAGCAATACCTCTCTCTAACCTCTCTAGCAACACTAAGCTGAGCATGTGCAGAATGGCTACGGTTCAGTCTGTCTTATCAGGAGATAAGATGTGGACATTTGAACAAGAGGAGGAGCGGAAAAGTCAGAATCAAAGGCCTTTTTTTTTTTTTTACACAATGCAGAGGATTAACCCCCTTAAGTTCCACAGTGAGTATAACAAGCATGCTTTACTGCATATACAGACTGATTTTACTGTTGTGGGTTTAGTAACACTTTTATTTTTTTTTTAAATCAAGAAAATGTTTGAGATGTCACCAAACAGTACAAGCAAGTAGTAAAGTTACATGGAAAGCAGTCATAATAGCTTACAAGCTTAATATAACCAGAGTAGAGTACAGTAGAACCATAAGACAGACATTGAAAAGGCATATCTACTGTAGATCCGTTAGTCGTAGGGGTTACAGAGCGCACAAATCAGGAAAGAGCAACCTAAAAAATCTTTTATAGTTTTCCTCCAACCATTAGCCACGATCCCTCCTATAATGAAATCATAATATTGTAAAACAGTAATCTAATACCAGGACCACAGGCGCTAGACCAGGAGAGGCCAACCAGCCGCCCCAAACATAATCATACTTTGAGGGGCTTCTATGCTGATATATCAATTTTTCATACCGTAATGTTGTACCCATCTGTTCAAGCCACTGCTGCGGAGTAGGGGGAGCTTGCAATAATAGGAGCCTATGGGCCTGAAACAAGGCTCTGGAGGCAGCCTCTCTATTATATTTACCCAGCGCTACAGCATCTAGGATATCTAGGAGACAAAATTTGGGCTCCAACAGGATGGATACCTGAAGTGCAATATTAACCATGACAACAGTAGCGATGGAGCTTTTTGGCAATTCCACAATAAATATATTAAGTCCCCTGTGTCTCTGTTACATCGAGTACACAAGGGATCTGGACGTATGCCCATGGATTGTAGCTTAGGTGGAGTGTGGTGTACTCTCAGTAGAATGTATAACGATACGTTGCGAGACATTAAGGGAACATAAACGTATAGATTCTAGGGCCTCCTCCCACTGTTCTCCTGGAATGTCGCCTACATCTCCTTCCCATTTCTTGCATGCTGTACTAGGTAAATTCTCCAAATATTCCCCCAACAGCATAGCAATTGGAAATAAAGCCCTTTGTAGAGCGAGACCAAAAACTGGAGTTTGTGACATCTCCTGGGTCTCCAAAGACCTCTGGAGCATGCTGCAGTTGTAAGTAATAAAAAAGCATGTTACAGGGAATACCAAATCTAGCCTGTAGTTGTGCAAAAGAGTAGTTGCCCCTGTGCAAGGATATGTTTAAGATGTGTCACCCCATATCTACGCCATATAGCAGTATGCTGTAGCTTGATCAGTTCAGGGTATGTATAATTGTTCCAAATAGGGCTATAATTGGTATATCCCGTGACTTTGTAATTGTTTAGAAAGTTTGGAGACCCCTGGGCTAAAGGAAAGCAAAGGGCTGGATTACTGTCCATCAAAACTTTTGGGGGCCGGACATTGGTGTCTGTGGAAAGAATAGTGTCCCATCATTGGTGTCAGTGGGAAAAATAGTGCCCCGCCATTGGTATCAGTGGGAGGAATGGTTCCCAACATTGGTGTCAGTGGGAGGAATGGTGCCCCATTGTTGCCGTTAGTAGAAAGAATATTGTGTCTTTTGAGTAAGTAGAATAGTGCCCCAAGGGCCAGATAAAAGCAAGTAAAGGGCAGCATTTGGCCCCTGGGCCACAGTTTTGAGACCACTGCTTTAGCCCATATTTTTTGTAGGAGTCTATTACTGCTAACTTTTACATTTTTGTTTACAGAGTAATGATCCACTTTATGGTCAGGAGAATGTGACGGCCACTCCAGAACTTTCACCTTTTTTCTGCTGTAACCACTAGGAGGTCAACATGGCCTTATGCTCAGTGTTAGTGTCATGCTGGAAAGTCAAAGAGTTTTCAATACACAATCCAAATTGTCTGTCTGTATTTTCTCATAACATGCTGCATTTATCTTGCCTTCAATCTTCACAATATTCCCCATGCCTTTAAAGCTCAAACACCTCCCCAAAACATAAGTGAGCCACCACCATGCTTTTTTTTTCTTTTTGACAAGAACTGAAAATATTATATTTTTCAGTGAACTAAAAAAAAAGAAAACAACAAAAAAAACAATAAATGAAGGATTTCTGAAATACCAACACACATAGTTTGTTCTTTTCAGAAGCGCAATAACAAATTTGCAAAATATCATCCTGCTGCAGCCAAGTGCCTGAATGAGGAATTCTAATTGGTTGGCATGAGCATATACATATATTTTGATTAGGTATTTCTAAGTATTTCTCCCAAAATATTATAATCCAAAGCTTTGAATATTCATGTGATTCTGGTAACAGTAACATTTAGTGCAATAATCAGCTCTGAACTGCTGTCTGCTGGTCTTTATTCAGCACTGCAGCTCTGGTCTCTGCAAAACACACCTGCCCTAATCCGAAGTGTTTAAATAGACTGCTGGACACTAAAGCTGGCCATACACGTGTAGCTTTTTGGACAAGAACATTCGGGGAATGGAGGAATGTTGTTCGAAAATTGTTTTTTGCTTTTAACATTCAAGTTTAAAATGAATGTAATTTCTTAACGACAACCACATACTCTGGCCGAAAATTTGTTTGATCGAGAAAAGTTTTCCTTCCTGCCCCTTCGATTTTTCCCGTCACTGAGGTTGAAAACAAACATCGATTTGACCACATTAAACGATTAGAAAAATCAAATGAATATTCTTGAAATGAAAATCCTGTATCATGTATTGCCAGCTTTAGGAGCTGATTCACCAAAGGCAACCAGACTGTGCACTCTGCAAGAGCAGCCGCTCCAGTGCTCAGCAAACAAGGTAAAGCTTCCCTTTGCCAAGAAAACCCACATGCACGGAAAATTTAAAAAAAAAATAGCATTTTTGCTTGCAGATGATTGGATGATGGAAGTCAGCAGAGCTTCTGCTCATTCACCAAGCTCCGGAGCAACTGCACCTGCAAAGCGCACAGTCCAATTGCCTCCAGCAAATTAACCCCCAGCTTGTGCCAGATCAATGGTCCTGTGCGACTGTTCATGCCCTAGATTACTCCTGTGATTGTTTGCACTGTGTTTGTAGTCAACTTATCTGTACCTATCCTAATCATTTGTCTGTTACCTTTGCTATTGATGGCAATCTCTCTACCTGCCTGGAGCATAAACGCTGGTTAGGATAGAATTGTCTGTGTCTCATCTGATCATTAGCGTGCTAAATCTGCTACTATCTCTCCTCCTTCCAGCTGCATATGTTGTCACCAGTGCTGGGGGTTTATTAATGTGTCCACTGACTCCAGTGCTGGGGGGTGTTTAATGCATGCACTGACTCCAATGCCGGAGGTTATTTCTACGTCTGGGAAGGGGGGCGCAATTTGGTGTCTTTACCCTGGGCACTGAATCATCTTGTCCCTCCACTACCCCAACCATCTGCCTGAAAGCATACACTGCTCAAGAATTTGTCCTGCCTGTTAGTTGGCTGTCACCTCTTGTGACACAGTAGGTCTACCAAACTCCCTGGCGGTTAACCTATGTGTGGTCTAACATCAGTTTTAGTGAT